ACTTTACTTGAAGGGGTGTGCATAAGACTGACATGACACCTACATAATCATGACATGACACGTCATGAATATGAAGGTTTATGCATGTTTATGACAACTTTCATTAAGTGTCATTTGCTCAGTTATGTAATTTTTAATGCAAAGATAACATTGTTTGAGATGTCTTTGTTATGGGCTATGGTTAGGGGTAAGGGTAGGGTTAGGTCAAATATTGTCATATTTGAATTAAAAATGACATAACTGAGCGAATGACACTTAATGACAGTTGTCATAAACATGCATAAAACCTCCTTCATATTCATGACATGCGTCATGTCATGATTATGAAGGTGTCATGTCAGTCTTATGCACACCCTTTCAAGTAAAGTGTTACCAAAAGGGTCAATTCCGACTTTGCTATGACAATCTGGCGCTTCTGAATCAGCGGCTGTAAGTATGTTTTGTTATTAAAGTATTTGCTATTGACTGGATTAAGCGCTGACACACGAACGTTTGCTGTTTACGGTGTTTATTACCACGACAGCCATACGAGACTGAACGTGCTTTTTGTATACCCTGCTTGAAGGAGATGAAAATATTATACATCTGAAGCTGTAATTAAATATTGAGAAACAGTGTGTATTATATATTTATTATTGTTTTGAATGCCGCTTACTCATTTATGAGAAGGAACCAAGTAGAGGACACAGTTACTTTTTTGGTTGATGTAATCCTTAGGTGTGTAAATGTATAATTGCCATTTCATTATTTTTTTCAGTTTTATTCAAATTTGTAGTTAAAATAACTAAAAATAAATGTGTTTAGAATTAGACAGCCTTTGCACACAGGCTTACGCTGGTAACTCATCAGTGGACTTTCCTCGTCAATATAGGCTATATTTTTTCACACTTTTCTCTATTTTCTATATTTCTGACGTTCCAAAAGCGCCTCCTACTGGCAGAGAATGAATGTGCATTTTCAATAATCCAGTCTGTAGTTTTTGTTCAGATCAATGCGAAAATCCACCCACATAACCTTGTTTTAAATTAATATAATAATTTATACTTCTGGCTCACCCCTGGTTTAAATGCTCAATTGTGAGGTTTATTATTTAATTTATTTTGTTTTTGTGAAAACCTGTATCTCAACTGTAAATCAGTTGCTATTTCGTGGTCTACAACACGAAATAAAGCCATTATAACATGCACATGAAAAATGTAGAAACATTGGACACAACTATGGGGCACCATTGTGCAGCAGCAAGCATCACAACAAAAAAGGAACCTCAAGGTTGATCTAGGAAAATGTGTGCAAATGTACAGGGCCCCATTCCTATATTTTGCCTGGGGCCCCCAATTCACTAAATCCGCCCCTGTGTAGGCTATAGAGTTCAGTTGAAAGCTCACCCCTTTTGGCTTGCATTTAATGCTGAATGTAAGAATGAAAACTGAAAGTAAAAGAGCCTGTGCGGTGAAAGTTGCGTTAGTTATTATAGCAACAGTCGGCTCGACTGTAAGAAACGTAGCGTTCCCATTCTATGACGTAAACGACCAGTGATGCAAACTATTCGACTTTTTTAATCAAATTCTGCAGTTTTGAATGGAAAGTAGGTCTGTCATTTACGTGATTCATGTAGCCTAATTTATAATTATGACATTTTTTTCTGTTTTGCGTTTTCAGCTGAAATTGAATGGGTGCATATTTTAAAATAAAAATATTATTTGCAGTTCAGATTGATTACTTTACAAAAATTACTATTCTTGTTCTTTTACTGTTCTTTTTTCTTCTTTTAATTTATTCCCCTAAATTCATGTAAATCCTTTATTTAGTTTCTTTAAATAAATACCATTAGAGGTCTGGTCTTTATATTTTCCTCAAAACAATTAGTCCCCCCCAATGTTCGAGCCATGATTATGGCCTTGTTTGGTATAAATAAAAAAAGTTCGTTGAAAAGAACCACCAGTGTAGAAACACTGATCCAGAGAAAGATAACTTTTTTTTTATTTTTTACAATTCAATAAAGAAAAAAAAAGTTTATTTTGCCGTGAAAGTGCATGATATTCTAGGCTGCCCATGAAAGCTTTTTTCAGTGTACATATATTATAGTTAATATAGCAATGTCTACAGTATAATATCTTCTAGACGGTCCTCTTTATGTGTAACTTTGGAAGGTTCGATTCATTCGAGTGAATCAGTTGATCCGAAACGGACCTATTTGGAAAGTCCAATTCAGTTCGTCGGTCTTCATATGTAGCTTTCGAAAGTCCGATGCGTAGTGAATCGCTTTGTTAGAACAATTCTTGTAAATAAATGGATTACTGAAAGATTGGAGTCCCTATGGATTTCAAGATCCATAAATAAACTATTATTAGGCTACTAATGTAAAAAACAGGAAGGGGGCCAACACTTTTTCACACCACTGTATTTGGAAAGTCCAATTCAGTTCGTCTGTCTTCATATGTAGCTTTCGAAAGTCCGATGCGTAGTGAATCGCTTTGTTAGAACAATTCTTGTAAATAAATGGATTACTGAAAGATTGGAGTCCCTATGGATTTCAAGATCCATAAATAAACTATTATTAGGCTACTAATTCAACGAATAGCCTAATACATTAGTACATTTGTAAAGTAATACATGTATTTCTAAATCGTTTGAAAAGTTTAATACAATGACCATTTAGCATTATTTATTTTAGCTACTGCAGTTTATTTATCGTTGACATTTCATCATTCAATTATTTATTATTTTTGCAGTTTTGTTCTTTTCAGCCCCCTCCTTTGACAAGCGCAGTCTGCTCTGATTGGCCAGCTGACCCAGTGCATTGTGATTGGCCGAACACCGCTAGCACGCCTTGGAAATGTAACGCCCCTTACCATAATCACGAGCTTCATCTTTCAAAGTAAATATCAAGACAGTTAATTATGTCGTGTCATGGCTGCTTCAACACTAACTGCGGTTACTGAAACCACGCCTTCTTTCTTTGCGTGCACGTTTGGGCGGCATTATGCAAATATTTCCACATAGTGAGGTAGACATGTGGGGGCGTGTTAGAACGAGCCGTTTTAGGGGGGCGTGGCAGAGTCTTAACTTTTATAAAGAATATCTCTTTGGATTTGAGACTTTAGTCTTTGTAACTTTACAGATCTTCTTTATGCACCAAGAGCTTGTAACACTCCAAAGAGAAAGGAAAACTTGAAATCGCATCATATGACCCCTTTAATAATACAATGACCATTTAGCATTATTTATTTGAGTTACTGCAGTTTATTTATCGTTGACATTTCATCATTCAATTATTTATTATTTTTGCAGTTTTGTTCTTTCATACGAAATCTCTTTAAATGTGACTTTGAAGAGAGGGTTCACGCAAAAATGAACATCTTCCTCGATTTATCTAGTGTTTTTGTCAGATTCACACTCTGACACATAGATGTCAGTAATTCATCGTTTAATTCGTTTGCAACCCGGCAGCGAATCCACAGAAGAAATAGGATCAGTAACAACTACTTTCCATTGCTTCTGTTGAATCATTTGGAGAGAACTTTTGGAAGATTTATTGAAATAAAATACCCAAAATCTAGAATTAATGAGCACTTCGATATTACTTTAATAAAGACCATTCCGTTGCTTTTTGGCAGCACTTGTCATGAAAATGACCGAGGAAAACAACGCTGTTGAGCCTAATGTTACTGAAGAGGATGTTCGACTGCTAATAAACAGAAAGGATGATATTGAAGAGCAAATTAAAGCATACTACGACATGCTCCAAACCGTAAGTTCAAACCATAGTTATTAATAAACACATACAGCTTTAACGCTCGTAAATTACGTTCATGCGTCGTGCCTTGCGTAGTTTGACTGCATTTGGAGAGCGTCCAACCTGTAATGTGTAAACAAGAACGGCAATAATGAGGGAAATACGTAACGTGATGACTAAATATGATTGACATTTATACTGTACAGTTTGATTTTATTAAATGGTTCACCAAAACAGTGAAATACAGCATCTTAAACAAACTGGTTTGTATGGAGTCAGATCAATGCCAAAATTAATACAAGGACAGAATATGAGGCACACATGCAAAAATGTACGTTTCCCAAATTACAACATAAATATACAGTATGCACACACAGTTTTCAATGTTGTAAATTCAAATTCCCTCACGAAGACAGAGCGGGGAGAGCAGCAAGACAACCCCCCCCCCCCCCCCCCCAACAAATAAAATGGTTAATATGGTTAAACTACAATTTAACCATGGTTTTGCTACATTAACCATATTTTAAACATGGTATTAAAAATGGTAGTAAATCTGTGGTTATACAAATAGTAATCTACCAAAAAAACATGGTTACTACACTTCTACCATAATAAAACCATGGTTAATTTTCGTAAGGACTAACAGAAGTGTTGGTCTGCCTAAACAACATCTTTTTTATACATTTTGTTATTTGTTTCTATACGTTTAAATCAATAGATGGGACAAAATGATCATTGACCCATGTACCTTATAAGCCCACTCTGCACTTCTCACATTTGCAAAATTGATTTAATGCTATTTTTATTGGTAGAATGTTCAGATATCAATTAGAAAATATTAAAAACAAATCAAATCTGACTATATGCAGTCAGACATTCAATTAGACCGGGTTGGTCCGCCCTCTCAGTTGGCTCAATGGCTGGGTTTTGGCCATAGATTTGTAATATAGTTTATTATAGCCAACTAATCGCCATATTGCTAGCTGATATGTTTTGGTTTAATATTACGCAGCAGGGGACCAAGTCCTTCAGTCACAAAAAAGTAAGGTGTTGTTATACTAACACATTTGGAATATATATATATATATATATATATATATATATTATTATATATATAACATTTTTTTTTAAGTCCTCTAAAGAAATTTCTTCATAAGGTGTGTGTGTGTGTTTGCACAGCAGGCCGGTGTAGGCATGGATGCTCCTCTGGTTGATGTGGAAGGCTTTCCTCGTGCAGATGTGGATTTGTACAAGGTCCGAACAGCAAGGCACAATATCTCCTGTGAGTACATTTTTCACATCTGGGTGATAAAACAGTATCGATATTTATCGACAGTACTCCATCAATAACGATCGAAAAAATGTTTGATATAGCACAGGTAATAGGCATGAGTGACGCAGACCGCACACACAAACACGAACATGAGTGCTGTGCCTGCCTGTGATGAGGATTAAATTGACATTAGTCGAATTTAAAATAAAAATAGCATTTGAATGCAAAAATGGTACAGTCGAATGTTAGGTGTGCGTAAGTGAGTTTGTTGCATTTGAATGTTTTGTTAGTCTAGCCCACGAGACACGCCCCTACGAGATACGAGCTATATCGCCCAGCCCTAATATACACTACCTGTCAAATGTTTGTAATAATTAAGATTTCTTAAGAGAAATCTTGAAAGAAGTCTCTTCTCTCACCAAGGCTGCAATTATTTGATCAAAAATACAGTAAAATCTGTAATATTGTAAAGTATTTTTACAGTTTAAAATAACTGTTTCTATGAAAGCCGGTTTCCACCACTGAATAAAAAATGAGAGGTAATTGCGACTTTTTCTCTCACAATTCTGACTCTCTCTCAGAATTGAGTGGTATAAACTCGAGTTAAAAAGTCATAATTGTGAGATATACACTTGCAATTCTGAGAACATATCAGTCTTTTTTTCCCCTCAAAATTGGACTTTAACTCACAATTGCGAGTTTATATAACAGTTTTTTATACAGCGAGTTTTAATCTCGCAATCGCTGGATCCGCTCCTCTGCTATCAACGAGAGGAACGTCTGTTCCTCCGCAACATGGGGAACAGCCACTTTTTGGTTGTTAAAAAACGGTGCGTTTTTTTTTTTTCAGTCTTACATGAAATTCTTAAAACACCCACAAGATGGCGAAATTAATCAGTGGATCCAATGCTACAAAACCGATATCCTATTATGAAAAAATGCTTAAATGTTGGGAAAACCACCAGTTGTTGGTAGATCTCTGCTTATATAGGCTATACTTTAATGTTATTAAGCACATCACAATATATATATATATATATATATATATATATATAAAAAAAAAAGATCTGTCACTGTTTCTGTGTCGTTGAGACTTTAACAGTTAAAATGTCTTGAGCTAAATGAGAGTGTGCTTTTCTAAACCCTAGTATTAAACTAGCATCTGCATCAAACATTAATGAAATCTGAACGTACTACTTTTGATGTTAACTTTCTTGTTAAACCACTCAGGCATTCAATTTTGTTATGTACTAAATTTGTGGCTTTTTCCCTTTGCACTCCAGATCTTTGATGGCGGGTTTGCTTTGTGTCATTAAGATGATTCTTCTGTGTTTCAGAAATGGTGGAGTCTATGAAGAGCGTTGCAGGAAAGGACACCGAGCTCACGGTAGAGGAGAGAAACCTGTTGTCGGTGGCGTATAAGAACGTGATTGGAGCTCGACGAGCCTCCTGGAGGATCATCAGCAGCATTGAGCAGAAAGAGGAGAGCAAGGGAGGAGAGGGCAAACTCAAAATGATCCGCGAATACAGACAAGCGGTGAGACTGCAGGAGACTGAACTCCTGAGCATCTGGAGTGAATTGGCATATTTTTTTATATGAAAAAATAAACCTAAACCAGTGGTTATAATTTCTTACGCCGTAATCATTTTGAGTGATCTTCACCAAAATTCAAGTGATTTTCAAATGCTAGACAGTGGAGTTAGTGGACAAGTGTTAAAGTTTGACATGCTGAATATGAAAAGCACATTACTTTTTGTGTATCATTATTAATAGTGCTCTTGAAAAACTAAAAAATACATATTTTTACAACTTATACAAGCTGATCTGTTATTACTCAAGCATAAAAATGACATGGTATATGCATAATACTGAGTAGGGCTGCACGATAAATTGAAATGGAATCGAGATCACGATTCGACAGAAGCTGTGATTGTCATGCGTATCTTTCAGTGAAGCACGGTTCTGTGATCAGCAGTAAATCTCCATCCAAAGGCCAGAGGGCGCTCTCGCTCTGAAACGCCAAATACGCCTCGCAGAAGAAACCCAGAAAATGCCTATTGCTGCAGCTGGATAAACAGAAGATTCAACTGCTTACATTGATTCAACCTGACTAATAAACACACGACTACGGCAATATACAGTTTATCTGAGTTCTAATTTTCATTAAAAGAAAGTATATTTATAATGCAATGCCTTAATCACTGCTTAAATACTATGAAATATGTTGCGTGCCTTATTCTGTGTAAGAAGCCACATCATCTCACAAAAGGATTTATTTCAAACACTCGACTGACGTTACGAAGTGAGTTTGGAGTAAAACTATGTTATTAAATGTGGTGTTTTCACATGCTTTCAGATGGAGCAGCATTTACTTCACAGAGCCGTTGTTCACTGAGAAGCTACGCAAACAGCTGTCATTATCGCAAACGATTTCTTCCATTTCATAATCGCGCAAAAAAAATCGTCGGCAAATTAAAAAAATAATTTTTTTTTTTTAGAAGTCTCTTCTGCTCATCACGGTTGTATTTATTTGATCAAAAATACAGAAAAACAGTAAAAGCATGTGATGATGATTTACTGCTGATTACAGAACCGGCTTTACTAACAAAATGCGCATGACGATAGCATTCGATTAATCGTGCAGCCCTAATACTGAGCTAACAACAGTTTTAACAAAGAATTACCAAAAGCGAGTCTTCCAAAAGTCTTTTGTGACCAGTCCCACAATGTTCTGGAGTGTTCCAGAAAGCACTAGAATATTCCAGAATGTTACACAAACCTCTAGAATGTTCCCATCCTTGCAAAAGTTTAGTAAAAAAAGAAATGTATCTGTACCAAAACCAATGTTTCATAATTAATGATAGTTCTAAAATGGACCTGACCAAACTATTGATGCTACGTGAAAAATAAATGCCTCGAGCTGTGAGCTCTATGGCTCAGAGACGGTAATGTGTGCAGTAATCTAGATGTGCATGATGCCATTATTACTCTGTGGTTTCTCCTCTTACGTTTTGCAGGTTGAGAATGAGCTGAAATCTGTTTGCAATGACATACTGGATGTACTGGACAAACACCTCATTCCTGCAGCCAACACAGGAGAATCCAAAGTTTTCTACTACAAAATGTAGGTGTTTGATGAAACAAAGTGCATGCATTTAAGACTTTATAGGTCTCTTAGATGGGTGAGGTTCTGCATGCTAAATATATGACATGAAACCTGGCTTTATTTCTGTAGAGCATAAAACGTTTGCCTCATGTAGGTCATGGATTTGATTCCCAAGAAACATGCATAATTATTAAATGTATACCGTGAAGCAGTCTAATCATGCTCACATGCACTTTGATTTGTCAAACACCTACATTTTGTAGTAGAAAACTTTGGATTCTCCTGTGTTGGCTGCAGGAATGAGGTGTTTGTCCAGTACATCCAGTATGTCATTGCAAACAGATTTCAGCTCATTCTCAACCTGCAAAAGATAAGACGAGAAACCGCAGAGTGATTATGGCATCAGCGATTCGACAGAAGCTGCGATTGTCATGCGTATCTTTCAGTGAAGCACGGTTCTGTGATCAGCAGTAAATCTCCATCCAAAGGCCAGAGGGCACTCTCGCGCTGAAACTCCAAATACGCCTCGCAGAAGAAACCCAGAAAATGCCTATCGCTGCAGCTGGATAAACAGAAGATTCAACTGGTTACATTGATTCAACCTGACTAATAAACACACGACTACAGCAATATACGGTTTATCTGAGTTCTAATTTTCATTAAAAGAAAGTATATTTATAATGCAATGCCTTAATCACTGCTTAAATACTATGAAATATGTTGCGTGCCTTATTCTGTGTAAGAAGCCACATCATCTCACAAAAGGATTTATTTCAAGCACTCGACTGACGTTATGAAGTGAGTTTGGAGTAAAACTATGTTATTAAATGTGGTGTTTTCACATGCTTTCAGATGGAGCAGCATTTACTTCACAGAGCCGTAGTTCACTGAGAAGCTATGCAAACAGCTGTCATTATCGCAAACGATTTCTTCCATTTCATAATCGCGCAAAAAAAATCATCGGCAAATTAAAAAAATATATATATTTTTTTTTTGGCGTAACTTGTCAGTGAACTACGGCTCTGTGTAGTAAATGCTGCTCCATCTGAAAGCATGTGATGATGATTTACTGCTGATTACAGAACCGGCTTTACTAACAAAATGCGCAT